TTAATTTTTTTAAAAGCAGCCAAAGTATTGAACTGTCTGGCTTCACTCCTCTTTGACCTCATCACATATTACCAATTGTGATATAACACACTGCAGCACAGCAACTTAACATGTTTGCCCCTTTGAGAACAGGGAATGATTCCATTCATCTCTGTATCTCTAACCTAGCACAGGTGCACAGAAAGAGTTTAGCCAAAGTTTGTTAAATGAAAGTGGTTGAATGACTGAAGTAACTGTGATTCTTTCAAAAACATTTGTCAACGTTCAAATCTCACAGTGAGGGTTAATCAAGTGGTGCCCACAGATGAACTTTTGGCAGCCAACACAAACTCTTCAGAACTGGGCCAGAGAAAACATTTGAGAGCAGCTCCTAGGGTCTCCTAGAACAGATGCACCATCAGTCTTGGCACTGAATAAAAACACCTAAGCAGGGAAATGTCAAGTTCATTTGTTAGTGTCATCACTAACAATTCACTAAAGCTATTTCTGCAACAACAACAAAAAATGACTTTCAGTGGGTCATCACCTCTTTCCTTTCACTCCCAACAAATTCATTCCATAAACCCAGTTAGGATCAGAGAGGAAAGTACCCATTCTACCTACATCTCAGAAAGGGTAAGCCATCATTTCACAGCACAGGGAATTCAGAGACTGCATTGCCTTCCTAAAAGGCCAAAACTGCTATAGTTCAAGACTCTGTTTTTCTGTAATATGTCCCATCTCTTGTTCCCAACCCCACCATATGCTTACCACAGATCTTGTGTAATACCCTGCTCACATTCCCATATTCCCAACTAGACTAAAGCCCACAAATAGTACAGCTTGGGTTCTGGTAATTTCAAAGGTCCCAATACAATGTCCTCTAGTAGCCCAGTATAATTGGGTCCCAAAACTGTTGATGGTTCTCATGGAAACAACAACTACAGAGTGTCCTAAGATAGCTCTCTACACTCCAGAATTCAACTTTGTTCAGTCTCTGAAAATAGGCATTTTCTGATCCTCACCTAAGAACAGGCATTTCGCTTTGGTAGTGTAACAGGGTGGTCCCTGGGAAAAGGGGAAGTTCCAGTTTCCCTGCCCCACCCAGAAGGAGGGTGGCGCTGAGCAGAGAAAAAGGAGAGAAGAAATCAGAAGAGAAGGGAAGGAAGCTGGATGGAGAACAAGAAGGAGACCTGAGGAAGCCACATGGAACAGCAAGCATGTGATGAAGAAACCGGGCTTGTTTCCTGACCCTGGGCTGGTTAAGGCAGATGTGGGTGAAATACCTGTCGGGAGGTGACTACGGCAGTGTTTATATTGATTTTGATTTTGCTCTTTTCCTCCCAGATTTGTCTGGCCATTTCTAACCCTTTTCCATGGGTCCCGGCCAGAAGGTGCTTTAGTCTTTTGGGTTGACTTTTGTCCACGAGGGGATGGGTAACTTCAAGTGTTTGACTTAGAAGCTATATTCTTTGTGTTCTGTATTGTATATTTACTGTATTAAAGTCCCTTTTCATTATATGTTTTGTCTTGATGTGGCAGATGGCAGAACCCACTTAGAGCAGGCAAGTTTGGAGTTTCAGGGGTGTCCCTCTCTCCCTGTCCTCTAACAGATTTGCTGTCCTGTAACAGTAGGATGACCAGACTGGCTTCTTTCAAGTCACCAATAACAAAACAAATAACCAAGAACCAAAGTTGCATATAATTCATATCTTTAGGAATAGGAAAAAGAAAAAGCAGTGATACTTGCTTGATCCTGGGCAATAGTGGTATTGCACAGAAGCTCCTTTCAAAGCTGCTCTTAAGAACCAAGTCTCATGTACAGTTTACTACTTACTCCTAAACCTAGTGGTAAAAGCCTGTGTATGGTTTTAGCCACTTCTTAATGGAGTTCATGAACTGAGTATTTTAAAACCATGTCTCACACTTCTTCTAGGTAAATTATCAGCATCATCACTGCATAAATCTGCATCAAGCTATTTCTCAGAATTACAGAATTAGACTGGTCAACCATATCTGACAGACTTAGCATAGTACTGCAGTAATGGCTGCCATGTGAATCCTACAAAGGCAATCCTACTTTCAGAAGGCACTGTGACAGGACATTTTTGCCTAAACGCCATAGGCTATGCCACTTAGAAGAAGGTGTCTGTTTCTCTCTGTCCTAATTAGCCACCCCCTCCCCCTAGGGTTAATAATTTTAAATCCTTGCTGCTAGCCATGATCTGAGAAACCCGGATTACTTCTAAGTCAAGGAAAGAATCTATATTCTAGACTAGGAACAATGATGTCCAAGGACAGTGAAGTCATTTCGTGAAGTGGGACAAAGCTAGGTCTGAGAACCAGAATCTCAGCTCTCTAGCACGTTTTCACATCTGTACTAGCAAACACATTCTCAGACTCTATACTAGGAATAAAAAGGTGTGTAAGAAATGTATACGCTGGTAGGAGACACTGACATAATTACTAAAAATAGATATAAACATTCTGATGTCAAATTAGACCTAACATTGGCAATGAGGCAATGATTTGAAAACCTCAAAGCCTTACTCTGTCCTTTAGCCTTAATCCTTCCCTTGGGACTTTTCAATCTTAAGGTCACTGTCACTACCACACAGGTCTTCCTAGGTGGGGTTGCTGAAGCTTAGTGTGGACATGCAACCATTTCCCTAATCTCTGCAACACAGTCACAATGAGGCTGAAACATAATAAACCGATATCTGAAACAGAAAATTTACCAAAAGCTCAGAAACAGTAAAAGGGCAATGAACACAGACAGTCTCTCGAATTAGTTAATCTTATAAAATTTACTTGTCCTCAACTTGAGTCCCAGTCTGTGTTTATATAATAAAGTCATTTGTTCTTACCATCTTACCTAAATACCTCCTTCCTTAAAGTTCAGAACTCAGAAAGCACAGCCCCGAAACACAAAGTTCTTATTCCTAAATTAGTAGTTTCTCATCTCATGCTAACTGACACTAGGAATACCCACTCCCGGTAAGGAAAACAAAGTATAGTGTTTTGGGTTTTTTTAAAGATTTATTTATTGCTTACAGAACTGAGATATAGGCCAGAGGTGTGGTGTGTGAGAAGATTCACCAGAGAGCAGAACAGGCATCTTGAAAGGAGCACAACAGGCAGATCTACTGGAATACACTACTAAGGGGAGCAGCGGGCAGGTCAGGAGAGGTCTGCCACGCCATGTGGGTCAGATCCCTGGCAGGGGATCAAACTCGTGCTTCAGTAGCTTTGGAGAACTTCATAATGCTGTGCTTTAACCCACTGCGCCACCAAGGAGAGCCCAGTATAGTGGTTTTACCCTATAAAGTCCAGGATAATTCCTGACAGAGCCACAGTAAAATTAACAGGACAAAGTGGTTTAATGGTACAAAGGGAATATGATAAACTCTTAAGTAGTGGAACAATTCTCCAGAGAGACTAGCTATCCTTGTCTAGTGATCTTTTGCGTCTCTGAAAATCTGAGGTCTATGGCTGAACATTTACTCTAAAAATACTATGAGCGATTCTTTAGTTACAAGTACTTCTAGACCTGAAACTGTCCCTTTCTAATATTCCTTCATCCTGTACCAGAAATGGGAGACACTCATGAACTCATGAATATGACTAACTTATTACTATCTCCCTCCACATTGAAAGAAATGTTTCTCTCTGAGTAGAAAGCCCAGATTCAATTTTGGCAGCATGCCCAAGCTGAGAGTAGGTTATCAACTTAAGACAGTTCTTGGGTTGATACAAATCACCCATTTGCCTGGAACAAGTGTAGTTTTCTTAGTCTTGATTTTCTAAAACATTCTAGGGGAGAGAAGGCTGGCAAAGAAATAAGATTCTATCTTCTAAGGTCTCAAATGTCTAACTGTCCATTCTTTTTAAGTGTTCACATAGATAAGACTTTATAATTAGGCCTCAGCTGTTTGCTAGATTCTACTTGTACGCCTTCTTAGCTTGCCTTCACTAACAGTGCAGCTATTTACAAATGGCCCTTCTACACCCAAGGGGCCTACAATCACCTCCTCAAAGCTGTTTTCTGTGTAGTAGTTTACAGACCAATAGCCAAGTTCTTTCAGAGAAAGAGACCTCTTTCTCTTGTTTGGAACACCAGAACCATTCAAGAGTAAGGTAGCTGGTACTTATTGCTCTGGGTCTCTGAAATCATTGCCTGTTTTGTTCCCTTTGCAAACCTCATGACTCATACACAAGAGTATGTGTATACAGGTATGTGTGTGTTCAGGGTTGTGTACTGAGGGTGGGGAATAAAATGACAGCTATTCGTAGGCAGGTACAAAACTCTTATATGCCTCCCTAGAAGACCTGAAATCAACTCTTGAACAGAAGTCCACATACATAGCTTATAGTTCTGCTATCAATGATAACAATACTATTTACATAAGCTTTGTCAAGGTCATATCCTAGGTCAGTTGGCCATGAGGTAGCTACTTTGTAGCATGGCCAACTTCTCTAAAAGCAGCTCTTTTCTAACCTGATCACACAGCAGTTTGGACAGCAAGAGAAAACTACAGAGACCAGCTGATTCCAAAGAGGAACTGGCAGGATGGCAGAAACTCAATCACATAGATAGAAAATGGGTCAGTACATTATGGCCCTCAAAATTTGTACTCATGTTACTAAAATCACTGATTCCTGCTCTCATTTGAAAGCTACTTCCTGGAGGTCATGGGAAAGAACACAAAGAGACAGGCCCCTACATTGCCATCTGCCCCTGCAATACATAATTAGAAGACTGAAGTCAAGGCTCAAGTTTTTCAAGATGTATAGACTGCCTAGCTCATAACTGAAGGTACCAGCTGTGAGCCAAGATAGGCTTTTTAAGGACCAGCTATACAGTAATAAGTTGAATCCTCTGTAATTAAATGGTAACTCCATAAGACCTCCATTATTTCTAAACTCATTAATGAATGGTAGCTTAACATAACTGGTATCTACTGGAATTCTGGTAAAGGAATACAGTGTCACAAAGAGTTGTGAGATTAAAGTGTTCATACCTTAGATGTGAGGTCCCGATGGAAAATGCCTATCTGATGAAGGTAACTGACGCCCATTGCTATGTCATAAGCCAGTTTCACTCTCACAGTCCAGGTCAAATGCAGATTACTGTCTAGCAATTGTTCCAGGTTTCCAAAGTCGATATACTGCAAACAGAAGAATAACCATTTGTCAGTTACATGTAGGCTGGTATTGAAACCACTAGTGATGAGACCTGTTTGTTTATTATTATTTTTTTTTAAGTTATTGAGGGCTTACTCTGTACCCAGGAGTTATGGTAAGTGAGACATACAAAGATACCTTCCTCTGGTCTTAATATTTTTTTCTTTGGTGGGAGAGTATGAAATATTAGATGTATGAAAGGCTAGGAAATCTAATGGAATAAGAGGCAAGATATCTGAATTTTTGTCTAATTTTGCTTTTTAGGCCTTTTCAATTTTGAACAGATGAAGCAATAAGGTAGTTTTCATATAAAGTAGGCATGCTAATCCATGTCTCATATAATCCATGACATTATCATGAGAATTTAATAGAAATATATAAAAGTGTTTAGAAAAACATTAAGTGTCACATAACCTGAGATTTTTTTTCTAATGTGGTAACAAGCACCAAAAGAACCAGTTGGGGGCAGCACCATACAGCTCTTCAAATCCTTGTATGAAACAGATCAGGTTTGACAAGGCAGAGAGAGGAGCTAAAAATATACCTAACTTTTCAAATGAAAAACCTGTCAATCTGCTTTATCCTGCTTGATGATGTCTTTGGAAATCTCAAATGGAGGCATAATGACATCATTAGCATAATGCCTTCATCGTTTCACTCTAGTTGAATTTGTCTGAGGTTCACGCTTTTGGTGCCCATTTGCTAAAAAGAAACTCAGTTTGCAAACTTCAAGTTACAAGACACAAAGAAGCTGAAGCAAAATTTTAGCTCTGAAAAGTCTAAAGGTCTGAAGAGGCAGTGGTTCACTTCTTTGGCACAGTCAACGGGGTGACATAAGAAGGCCTGACTTCAGAAGCCAGTCAGATCTGGGGCCAGGCAGGAAAAACTATGACAGAAAGGTTATATGAACACCCTGTGGGCCAAGCTAAGCCAGGACTCTTGGTTGTAGTTCAATGAAACATGTTCGCTCTGTTTAACTATGACTTTGAAAACCATACCAAGTCAGATGGTGGAGCGTAGAGGAGAAAGGAGATATAATGTGAAGAATCACACTGGTTAGTAGGGTCTGGCTTTTCTGGGCAATATAGAAAAGGCATAAACAAGAGTCAGAGAGGTAAACCAGATGGAGTTTATTGTCATAATCCACTTCTTTTGTCTGCCTTTGGTGAAATACACCAGTGAGTCTGATAAGCCTCTGAGCCCTCAGAATCCAAAACTTTTCAGTATCTCAAGATCTTTGTATATATGAGGAAAGTTTGAGATATGTCAGCAAAGAAGATATCTAATTTGCTACACACTCTGTGTGCCCATTAATTGGAATATTCACTTACGTTTGATAATTTTATTAAAGATACAGGTTCTTTCCCTAGAAAATACCCAGTAAATAAGAGGGTGTTAGTAACTAAACATATGCAAGAAATCACATGGCAATACCCTTTTAAACATCACCAGTGGAATAAGTAAGTGGACATTTAGTCTCCAGTTAAGAATATTAATTCAAGTTATTTCTACAAATGTGTATTGAGCACCCCTACCCCACTGCCACCCCAGATGAGAGTAAGAACCGTCTGTTTACATCAATACCATGGCCCAGTGATTAAAAGAGTACCAGGTCATAGTAAATATGGGTATATAAATATGAATAACAGTTTGTACATAAAGAATCCAGTGAAAGACACATAGGTAAGTAAATAATACCTATAACTCTTTAGTAGAGATAAACACTTGGGGTATGGAAGTAGAAACTAACCCTGCCTAGGAGTCAGGCAGAGTCTGAATAAAGTTTAAGGAGTTTATAAAGTTTCAGATGTAATAGATGTAACATGTGAGTTAGAGTAAAAAACAGTTAGGAGTTGGTCCAGGTGACTTTTTTCCTGCGTTAAGTATAGGTAGAGGAAAAGAGATGATGCTGAAAAGTTAAGGTGGTTTAGTGGTGAAGCCTAGGGTTGAATCTCATCTCTGTTTGTGCAACTCTGGGTTGGCTACTCAACTTCACACTCTTTTACAAAAGAGGAAAATAGTAATGACATCCAACCCATAACTTTGTTATGAAGACTTGATTTGTAAACTGTTTAGAACAATGTCTAAGGCAGTTCTCAATATATGGCTGTTTTTATCAGTATTATTAGTTGTTAAATGATTAGTGTAGACGTTCTGGAACACCAAGATAAAACATGTACGGCTAATTTGGTAGACCACGGGACCACTATACAAGTGAAGGTATAATATGATCTGTTGTGAATTGAATTATGTCTCCCAAAAAGGTTGCTTAAGTCCTAACCCATAGTGACTAAGGGACCTTATTTAGAAATAGGATCTTTGCAGATATATCAAGTTAATATGAGATCAGGCTGGAGTAGGGTGAAACCTCAATCTAACATGACTGGCATCCTTATAAAAAGAGAAGAAACACAGACACACAAGGGAAATGTCTTGTAATGATGGAGGCAGAGATTTGAATGACACATCTACAAGTCAAGGAATACCATCAGAATTTAGGAAAAGACAAGGAAGGAACTTCCCCTAAGCATGGCCCTACTGGCATTTTGATTTTGGACTTCTAGCTTTCAGAACTATGACAGAATAAATCCCTGTTAATATAAGGTCCCAGATTATGGGATCTTAGACTATTGAAAACTAGAAACTATTGAAGCCGTAGAAACTATTATGTGACCAAAGATCGTTCAGGTAGCAGAACAGAGGAGGAACTAGAAAAATGTTTGGGAGGTGCTATGATAATCAAGATGAGAGATGACCATTCACCTTTCGTAAGAGAAATCAGCATTAATGCCAAATAGTCAAATCAGTGGCTCTCTGCAGAGGGCTTGGGTCCCGACCTAGTTTCCACTGTAGCCCAACAATGTCATTGTGCTGACCACTGTATGTTTGTTGGTTGGCTCCAAACACAAAAGCCAGCAGACATCCCATCCTGCTGGCTTGGCTTAAAGAAGAAAAGAAAGCTTTGTTACTACCCTGGGTAATTCCAGGACAAGCATCCCAAGAGCGCCCTGTGGGAGGTTTATGCTCCAAAGGAGCCTCCTGTTCTCAGCTCGAGGTTCCATTGCCACTACAAGCATATATTCACACATCTGCCAAGGCCCATTTGCCATGGTTCAGCTTCCACTTCAGGAGGTCCACCAGGGCTGGCCTGTCTGAGACCAGGCATGGACCAAGTCTTTCTCAATTTTGTAAGCCCCATATCAAATGAAGTGATCAATAAATTGTTAAATGAACAAATGAATGAGTTGAATAAGTGGAAGCAAATTTTAAATTCACTTTTGTAGTTGGAAGAGTCCCAATTCAGTCATTTATGTATAAGACCAAAAAGAGAAATGTGATTTGGGAGGAATTTTCTGATAAATACCCTGCAAAACAAATCTTTAATAATGACTATTGTAAAGCAGATGCTACAGTAGGCCTTGGATATAGTGGAGGCAGATAGCTCCTTTGAAAGCTAAGGGTCAGGAAGGTTCACAGAAATTCACAAAGATGAACTGGAATTAACAGGAAGGCATGGGGGCAGAGGCCCCATTTAATTCTGGTTCACTGTAGAGAAAATAGATTTGAGGACTGGTATACACATAAGAATCCATATCCTCAAGGAAAAAAGAAAAGGGAGAGCCTTTTCTTTTCCCTATTTTCAGACCAGTTCAATTATTAGAATGGTTTGTTGTCCTCTTTAGAGAGAGGAAAGGAGAAAAATCAGATATCTGATCTTAAGCAGAATGAGTCTGGATTTATTTTTTATTTTATTTTATTTTTTTAAAGATTTATTTATTTGTACATACAGAACTGGGGTACAGGCCAGAGGCTCAGGGGTGACGAGAGGCTTCACCAGAGACAGAGTGGGGAGCAAAACAGGCAGATTGATGAAGTATACTGCTGAGGGGAGCAGCAGGCGGGTCAGGAGAGGTCTGCCACGCCATGTGCTCACCTCCAGGGCAGGGGGGAATCGAACTCATGTGGAAGCGGCTTAAGCTTCTCAGTGCAGTGCTTTGACCTCCTACGCCACCAGGGCGGGCCGAGTCTAGATTTATTTAACCAACTTATTCAAATTATCTTTTCTCTGTCAGTCATTGGAACTTTCTGGAAACTAGCTAATGCTAGTTGAAGGTCGACTCTCAATTCAAGCAAAACAACAGATCTAGATATATCATCTAGAAGAGTTTGGAGATTCTAAATTGTAAAATTTTTCTAAATGACTAAGCAGGGAGTGACCAGAGCATCGAAAGCTGAAACCTTTACAAGAAACTCCAGAAGGTCCTGTTACACAAATAACTTTACTTCAAGAGCTCACTGAGGAGTTCTATGCCATGTCTAAATCAATATCTGGTACAGTAAGTCCCCAAAAATATTTGTTGAATTAAAGCCTTTAGCTTTCTAACTACATTCAGGAATCCCTTCTCTCCTCTCCATGAATCAGCTCTCATCAGCTCCCTCAGTCTTCAGAGTGTACATCAAGAAGGACTTGTCCAAGGGAGGGCCTTAAGATGACAATGATTGACCCTGGTCTACAGTGAAGACACTGTTCAGTCTTAAGTTCAAAGAAACATTTCCCAGGGCCTCCCTAGTGGTGCAGGGTTTAAAATCTCAGGGCTATCGGCCCTCCCTGGTGGCGCAGCAGGTTAAAGCACAGCACTGAGAATCTGAAGCCACTTCCGCATGAGTTCGATTCCCGCCTGCCGCCTGCCCCAGAGGAGACCACATGGCGAGCCAGACCTCTCCTGACCCGCCCGCTGCTCCCCTCAGCAGTGTACTTCGTCGATCTGCCTGTTCTGCTCCCCACTCTGTCTCTGGTGAAGACTCTCACCGCCCCTGAGCCTCTGGCCTGTACCCCAGTTCTGTATGAATAAATAAATAAATCTTTAAAAAAAAAAAAAAATCTCAGGGCTATCAAGCTATCCTCAGCCACTGTGGCCTGAGCCAATCCCCTGGCCAGGGAGGTGACTCACATGGTGCCACAGACCTCTCCTGTCTCACCCGC